TCATTAAGAATTTTCCTGTACGCTCTTGTATATTAGTCTCTGTCAACCCAACCAAATCGAAACCTTCTTGCGCAGCCTATACTAACACCAGATCTAACCGATAACTATGTGATTTTAACCCATTAATATTATGTACTGCTATCTTTAGAACCCTATCATTTTCTTCTATTATACTCCTCCTCTGCATTAGACGGGTCCCGGCATCCTCCTCCCATATTTCCTGGACTCTTTTTTTCATAAAAACACCTATAGCAACTTTTAGAAGCGATTCTGCGCTCCTAGGCTACTCTGCCTTAGCTCTATCACATTGAGTCTTTGAAGAATTTGCTCAAGAATCGTGTTTTGAATATTTTCTTTCTGTTCTGTACTGTGAACTCCTGTCTCTATTTGCATTTCTGTAATCGCTACTTTTCTTGTTGTAGACTTCACCTCACCATGATCTGAAGATTTCTTGATATTACAAAGAATATTTTCTTTACTTCTATTGTTTTCAAGTAGTGGTAAGGTTCTTTTTTTTAGCCGAGGTGTATTAGCAATATCTTTAGGAGCGGTTGACTTGTTGGCTTTCGTTTTTCTCCTTTTAACCAATTATATTATTAATTAGAGTAAGTTACTTATTTGATCTAAAATATATATAGAAAACAGTAAAAAAGTTAAAAAACATTAGCTTAATATTCTTTTTCAACTACTTGATATTTGAATTTGTAATTTTGCAAAAGAATTTAGAAAATACTAAAGAATATAAGTTCTATATCTAAAGCTATTTTTTATATTTACTTTCTTGAATAAATTAAAAAAAATATTTTTTTACCAAAATTTATATATAAATTAGAGTAAGTTATTTATATTTAATTTAAGTCTGGAAGATATGTCTCTTGACTATTATATTTAAAATAAATTAATTTTATAAATAAAATTAAATTTAAAATAAATTAAAAATACTAACATTTATTAGATAATATTTTAGATAGTAAAGAAGTCAAAAAAAAATCTTACTTTAGTTTAATTTAATTGGCTAAATAATATTACCTGGAGGTGAGATAAGTTTCTATAGTAAATTAATATTAGGTAATTAATATCATAGCCCTAATTTTAATTTTATTTTATATTATATTTTTTTTGTATATTATATAGATTTATAGCTAGTTTTATATATAAAAAATTTATATATAATATATTCAAAGTTGGTCAAATTATTGATTAACTAAAAATTTATTAATCAAACTGGTCTAGTCAAATTGGGCAAATAGTTTGGTCAAATTGGTTAAATAGTCTCATCTATTAATTAAATAAATTTAGTATCTAAAATAAATATATATATATATAATAATATTATATATACTATATATTTAAATATTCTGAACGTCACTCTCTCCGACGATCACTTGGTACAAAAAGTAGTAAGAAGAAAAAGTGTCTGCTTTCCAATTTATAAGGCAACACAATAGTGATAAATACTAGCAGGTGACAAAAAAGACATAGACACAAGGTAGTTTCACAATAGCTAGTCAACTTGCAAGTGAAAAAAGAGCAAAACTCTAAAAACACAGCAAGAGTGATTTCAAAAGCTGAACGTGACAAAATTTAACAAAAGATTGTATAAATAATAAAAGTCAGTTCAGCATTAGAAGAAGCCTAGATAGAACGTCAAATACAATATTTATTGACATAGAAGTGCTAAAACACAAAGGCACTCTAGTTTGTCAAAAAACGTTGCTTACTTCTTTAAGTCTAGGGAAAATAGCATTAACCCTGTAGTGTAGATCTTTGGTGTAATACAAGATTCTCGCACAAAGACACACAAAAATACACAAAATCAACAACCTATATTTCATGTAAAGACACGTTAAAAACACGTAAAAACACGTAAAACACGTGATTTAATTGAAGCTTAAGCCAAATTAAAGAGTTATATTAAGCAACATACCAGTAAGCAAATCACGTGAAAGAAGCAATGCTAGCATTTTAGAAGTACAGAAATTTCTTTAATCAAACCGATGAGGAGAAACTAGTATTATATAAGGAACAAAAGGCAACCTTAGTTGAACAGGACAGTTACATTGCAGACTTTTTAGGTTGCAAGGATGTACTTTTTATAGCAGCTTTATGAGAGGTTGTTGATAGGTATAATTAGGCCCGAAACAAGGAGTTCAAGCAGGATATACTATCTAACGAGGAGAAAATTCAAAGCAATAGTATGGAGATAACACAGAAAGAAGACAATAATCTTAATCCAAGTCCCACTAATATGGAAATTAGTTTCACAAAACCTGTAATTATATTCGAAAATTATAGTAACAACACAATTTGCAACAACAATGACAGCTCTCGTAAAAGAAGCCTCGAAGAACAGGAGAGTAGTAATAACTCAGTTGAGCATAAACAAGAGACAAGAGTAAACACACTTATTCAAAATGAGGTCGGTACATTGGACTATGGTCTCGAAAAAGTACTAGCTAGCAACAAAGTAAGGTCCACAAGGGTAGAAGGCAAACAGAAAAAGTCCAAAAAACAAGAGAATATCTACAACTCAATGTGGGCTCCGAGTGGTGAATACATATCAGGAAAGTATACACCCGAATCACTGTATTTTTTCACTTTGTGGGACCTCCCAAGAAATATGAGTGAGGAAAGAATTAAGAAATTTCTGAGATATTTTAGGGAAGCAACAATACTAGCATGGCAACATAACTTTACTACCAAAGCAGCTTTTATCAAGATTGTTTCGAATATAGAGAAGAGAGGAAAGTCCTTAAGAGAAAATTGGTCTATACATTTGGATCAAAGTAAAACTTATCGAACAACACCCGGGAAATTCAACATTAAAGAATTAGAAGAACGAAACAAGTTCAAAAGCACAATCTTCAATGTATCAACATCTGCCTTTGATAGCCTGCTTCTTAGACAATTAAAAAGATTCAAGATGCAGGCAGTACACATACTAAGTAATCGTAATGGTAATCAGTGCAGAAGGGCACACGTATACTTTAAAACTAAGGAAGTCTTGGTACAAGCGCAAGAATCAATTCCTTATTATTTTAGCACTAAATTGGAATGGAAAATGTCTATGAAAGAAGGAAACCGTAACTGTAAAAGAAAAAGCAACGAGGCAGGTGATTTGACAGATAAGAGGAGAAAAACGAAAGCTAACAAGTCAACTGCTCCTAAAGATATTGCTGATATACCTCGCCTAAAAAGAAGAACCTTACCACTACTTGAGAACAATAGAAGTAAAGAAAATATCCTTTGTGATACCAAGAAATCTTCAGGTCATGGTGAGGTGAAGTCCACAACAAGAAAAGTAGCAACTACAGAAATGCAAATAGAGACAGGAGTTCACAGTACAGAACAGAAAGAAAATATCCAAAACATGATCTTTGAGCAAATTCTTCAAAGACTCAATGCGATAGAGCTATGGCAGAGTAGCCTAGGAGTACAGAATCACTTCTAAAAGTTGCTACAGGCGTTTTTATGGAAAAAAGGGTCCAGGAAATGTGGGAGAAGGATGCCTGGACCCTTTCAACGCAGAGGAGGAGTATAATAGAAGAAAACGATAGGGTTCTAAAGATAGCGGTACATAATATTAATAGGTTAAAGTCATGTAGTTATCGGTTAGATTTGGTGTTAGTATGGGCTGCACAAGAAGGTTTCGATTTGGTTGGGTTGACAGAGACTAATATACAAGAGCGTACAGGAAAGTTCTTAATGAAAGATAAAGACAATTATCGAGGAATTTGGGCTGGTGCAGACATGAACAAATCTAAAGGCTCAGGTGTAGGGTTACTTATTAGCAAAAGATTAGAGAAATATATTGGAAAAGTAGAAAAGTTAAATGAATTTCTATTAA